CTGTTGAATGCACGTTCATGAGAGAGTGGCATCCAGCAGATGACGTAGAACGTAGGCCTAGCCTATATTTATTTTTTTGTAAAATAACATGCACTGATGAAACATGGACAATAAGAGCAAGAACATTTATTAAGAAAGTAAACGAGGTTCATTTTGTTTTCATGTTGTTTAGACTGATTTGTGTCAAAAACATTCTGAATGCCGACTCGTGCTCCCAGTATATAGATAATGATCGTGTGTTGACCGCACTGGCCTGTAATGCTGAACCCAGCAGGGGTTGGGTAGATACCAGTGTGTACCTCAGTGAAAACAGCCCCAGAGCCAAAGATCTCCTGTCCTACTTTACCGTTCAGGCATTGTTCCACACAGCAACAGAGGAAATGACCTCAGGAAAGTTTCTATGAAACTTTCCGACTATTCTGACCAGTTGCACAATGACTTCATGAGACATATGCCAAACCACCATTTTTGTGGATGTTCCTGTTGCGTAATAAAGCATGAAGGTGCTGAGGTTATCTTTGTTGTCCTGATTTTACAGAGGAAAATGCCGCTTGAATACTGAGTGAGGTTTAGGAGGCCGGCAAAACCAACATTCCCATATTTCCATATTGTGAAATCAAAATTGGCTCTTTTTGCTTTGAGTTTCCTCCAATTTTTGTGTTCCATTAATAGTCGTTTCAGCCTTTCGAGAGAATATGTGAGTCTTTTAACAAACGCCTAGTTGGCATTGTGATATGGATGATACATGCCCATCAATAATTTACTTCAGGCAGGTAGTTTTCAGTAATGATGCAATTGCAGGCCCAGGCCGGTGTTGTCTTGTTATTATCTGCTATGATGAAAAGTTATCTTTGTGGTGACATTACATTTCCCACAACAGTTCTTCCCTGTTTTGTTGTGTGTATTTGCAGTAGTTTCTACAGTCGTAATGTATCTGAAATGGTGTAGGCACCTTAAGTTCCCTAAGCCCGTCTCTGTCAGACAAGAAGCGTTAGCTGATCCTTCATCGTTTTTTCCATCCTCAGCTGTTAGTTGAAACCAGATTCTAACGCTGGCACGAAAGCCTCCTCGTCTTGCATATGACTCAAATCTAGTAATTAGCCTGCTTGAATTTAGCAGCGCAGAAATTATCAGGTTAACTGGCAATTAAAGAATGAGGTGTTTATGGAGAGAACGCTTAACGTGACACTACTGTACACACCCCATCGTGGTGCAGCTGTCGAATCAAACACCGTAAAGAGAGTTTTTCCCCCTCTCAGGTTGAAATGTGCTCCTTTATTTAACTATACACACCAGACTGGCTGTCAGTCAGAAACACTTAGGTTTCTTCTCAGAGTGCTTTGCTTGTTCCATTGTGCATAGTTATCTCAGAAGTGGTCTTGCATCAGTGGTCATGAAAATACAGGAATGACAAGACTACTCAAGTGGATTTTAAGGTTTGTCTTGCGTTTAGTGAAAAGAAATAAACATTAGGTTTTTTTTTACATGTTGATATGCAAAGAGTAGGGTAGCTGATGTATAAATGCATTGCAATATAATAGACTTGGAATAGAGTGAATTTCTGAAGAGTAGTTCACCTAAAAGGAAAACTCTTACCCAAATATTACTACAAACTCGTATGACTTTATTTCTTTTGTATACATTAAAAAGAGAAGTTTAGCAGAATGTTGATGCTGCTCATTTCCAAACAATGTTAGTCTAGTTTCACACAAAGACTAGACTAAAACTAAAATTAAAACAGGCCGCCAAAAACAACACTAGTCTATGGTGTCCATGGCTCTTGAACTCTTTAAAGGACAAAGCAAATTTCAAAACTGTAAAAATAGTCCATATGTCTACAGGTGCATCACTTTTACTGTTGTTCAGTGTATTTCCACAGGCAAAATTCATTTCAATCCTTTTCAAGTTGATTTGATAATCAGGAATTTGTTCTGGAGTTTCATGTGAGGGCAATAGATTTCCACATGAAGATTTTGCACTGGGTAAAAGGTGGTCTTGAACAGAAAGTTGCTTGGTTTGAAAGTGATTTCTGTGACAATATACAAAAAAAAAATTTTGCCCACAAAATTTTGCCGAAAGTAGATAATGGGAAATTTCACCAAAATTTCGACCTATGACCACACCTTGGTACAATATTGTTTTTTGTTCAACATTGGAATTTTTATTTTATTTTAGCAGTATTTGATGTTGGATATATTTATTGTCCAGTATTATGTATTTAATTGTATATGCTCATGTCCATATTTTTAGTGTTTTTTTAGACTACCTTTGCCATCACCTATCATCTAAATCTCAAAAAGTTAATAGTTCATATTAATATTAATATAATATTGACATATTAACACTAATAATTTAATATTGCCAACGACCGTAACATTTAAATAACTGATCATATTTTTTTTATTTATTTAAACAACAAACTTTTACAGAATTTTAATATTGTTCATAGTGCTGGGCAGTAACACGACCCCTTTTAATACATGTTAACCAGGAGTCACTCTCATTTATAATCGCGGCATCGTCTGATTAAAATCAACATGCATCTACACTAAAGAGCGGCTATGCGGTTGTTTTGGCTATATTACTTTTTTGTCTCATGCAGCGCACTGCCTGCATCTGAGTAACAAACTAAAAAAAACAACAAACAAAAAAGTGCATGTGATATTAACAGACGAACTACGCTCATATTTATAATTCCAAACAATCAGTAAGCGACAGGTGTTAGGAAACGCTGTTTTGTACTCATTTATTGACGAGTCGGCTGCGGTGCGGCCAACTGAATGTGCTGCTTCTCTGCCGCTCACTGCACAGAACAGACGCCGAGAGAGGTGACACTTCTCCGGGAAAGTCAGACCTCGTGTTCGCGGGACAGCATTGGCAAAATGTTCCAACTGAACCATAGCTAAGGTTTATCCAAAAAAGGCGCTAGGTTTGTCAGTATGAATATTCTATGGAAAAAAAGCCGCTAAAAGGGTCTGAAAGTTGCTAAATCTAGTGCTAAAGTCGCGCTCGTGTGGTGAGACGCGGGAGCTGATGGCAGGGGGCGGTGGATATTTGTGGCGGTCAATGTGGATATTGTGGATGAGTTCTTCTGTGTCATCACGTTCTATTAGTTCTACAGCTTCAGTTTCGGAACTTTCACGCTTAGTAACACATACAGCATACGCTTAGTTCCCTCACCACAGTGCAACAGTGAAACAACACCCCTTTCAAACAGTGTCGCGTTCCGAACGTCGTTTAAGTGACATACACCGGTATTGCGGTATTATAAAAATTCATATCATAACAAAAATAAACACCGGTATTCGGTATGAACCGGTATACCGCCCAGCACTAATTGTTCAGTTATCATGTATAAAAATAATGAATCATTTATATTGGCAAAATTTTATATCAGTGCACTGATTATTCAAAGTTTTCTGAATTTAAGTCATTATTCTCTGAAAATCCCTCCATCGTAGTTTACAAATACCATTTCTGCTTGCATATATTTAAATGAAGCATGACAATGGTTTGTACCTATTATGATGTCCATAATATCAGAAGATATATGCTCTCATGTCATGTATCTCATAACAATTCAAAGAGTTTGTCTGCCAATTAACCTGTTTATCACTAGAAAACATTCAAATTGATGTATTGAAAGTCCTTTGGCTGCAGCACTCTACATACTTATGGACAAAGTAGAACATAAAAGAGAATTTTGGGTTTGGTACTTCTGAAGTATTCTCAGTGTTTGTGAATGAGCATGTGTGAGAAGACAGCAGTAAAGAAAGGAATGTTCGCAGGCCTCTGTTTTGACAAAGGCAGTGCGGTCTGGGTCTGGCCTCAGCTGGGCTGGCGCTATTATGGATGAGGGTTGCGTCTCCATTGGTCTCTGCACACAAAGACCTCCCCTGGGAGTCACTCCTCTGAGAAGGAGATGGAGTTGTCAGCAGGGGGTCTGGGATTGATGATGTCAAATGGGATAGCACACTTTCTCATTAACTGTGTAGCCATGCGTTTGGGTGAGAGTGTGTGTCCATTTGCTTACAGCATTGCTTCGGTTTGTTGAAGCTAGGGATGTGCAGAACTACATATTTTGAAGATTGAATAGCTAGTGGGCTGCCTGTCTAATCAGGCCTGTATAATCCGGCTGGTTTACGCATGATTTTTTTCGTTCAAAAACAGCCAGAAGAACCACAATGGAATGGAAATTAAAAAAATTGACTCTACATGTGTTTTTAAAACTTGGACTATTTTTAGTCATTATGGAATAGTAGGAAAATGTATGTATGTAATATACAAGTAATGCAATGTGTAAAATAAAATGTAATGTTTTATGTGAAAAAAAGCTTACATACATATATGGATTCCCCTCATGATCTGTGGGAAAGCTTTCAGAAATGATTCTGAAAAATAGGCTAGTTTCTTGTCAGTTGCACAGAAACAATAAATCAGGTATGTAATTCTGTCAGTGATTTCAGTGCTCTTATCTAAGTGTGTTTTGGAATGAAGGGTTTGGTCAATTGGACCTGTTTGGTCTTGTCCTTTGTGTACTTTGCAGAGCTTAGTTACCCTGGAGGCCATTGTGCCTGAAGTCAAGTCCATTTGTACATGGGCATACATGCAGTCCTACATATCTAGACATTTATGCCCTCAATTCTGAATGGAACTTTTTTTTTTTTAATATTGCCTAGCTCATATTTTGCCCGTATGCTAGATTTTGATGTTCCCCACCCAAGACATGCCTTGTCTGGGACTGCTAATGTTTTCCATTTCCAGTTTGATTTCCTGCCTGTCTGTTTGTAAGTAGGAGTTTCCTGTTCCCACGTTACCAGCGACCCTGTTTTAGGTCCTCGCCCCAAATATTGACACCCGTCCATCTCCCGGGCTGGCTGCCATCTTGAACCATGCCTTCTTCGCCACTCACTGTTGTCTTTTTACATAGATCAAATGTTTAGGGTGCCATCACAGTGGTCTACCTGTTTACAGTGAGCATGTTTTCTGTTTTCTCTCAGGAGCATCTTCAGCAGCTCATCCTCATGAACCTGCCCAATGTGCTGGCCATCGCCAAGGACCCATTATCAGGTATTGCTCATACACTGTAAATAAGCCACTAGATCATTCTACAAAACAGGTGTCTTTCCAGTGAATTTTAAGTGAACTTTTAAATTCTATCAGACATATAATGTGTTAAGAAAATGCACTCTGCCATCTCAAGCTAAATTAAAGTATTCGTTAAAATAAAAAAATATATAAAAAAAATAAAACTGGAATACATGTTAGGATACATGTACTGTATACCTTCATAAAGCTAACAGGGTTGATGGTATTATAGTTTAATTGGAAATTAGGCCTATAAGATTAAAAAATATGTAAGGTTCTTTTTAGAAAAATAATTTAATGCTGGTGCTTCTACAAAATCCAGTTTTCAATTCTTAACTAACAAAATCATGGTAACAGGGTTGACATTTTAAGATTTACATATATGGATTCCCCTCATGATCTGTGGGAAAGCTTTCAGAAATGATTCTGAAAAATAGGCTAGTTTCTTGTCAGTTGCACAGAAACAATAAATCAGGTATGTAATTCTGTCACTGATTTCAGTGCTCTTATCTAAGTGTGTTTTGGAATGAAGGGTTTGGTCAATTGGATCTGTTTGGTCTTGTCCTTTGTGTACTTTGCAGAGCTTAGTTACCCTGGAGGCCATTGTGCCTGAAGTCAAGTCCATTTGTACATGGGCATACATGCAGTCCTACATATCTAGACATTTATGCCCTCAATTCTGAATGGAACTTTTTTTTTTTTAATATTGCCTAGCTCATATTTTGCCCGTATGCTAGATTTTGATGTTCCCCACCCAAGACATGCCTTGTCTGGGACTGCTAATGTTTTCCATTTCCAGTTTGATTTCCTGCCTGTCTGTTTGTAAGTAGGAGTTTCCTGTTCACAGTGGTCTACCTGTTTACAGTGAGCATGTTTTCTGTTTTCTCTCAGGAGCATCTTCAGCAGCTCATCCTCATGAACCTGCCCAATGTGCTGGCCATCGCCAAGGACCCATTATCAGGTATTGCTCATACACTGTAAATAAGCCACTAGATCATTCTACAAAACAGGTGTCTTTCCAGTGAATTTTAAGTGAACTTTTAAATTCTATCAGACATATAATGTGTTAAGAAAATGCACTCTGCCATCTCAAGCTAAATTAAAGTATTCGTTAAAATAAAAAAATATATAAAAAAAATAAAACTGGAATACATGTTAGGATACATGTACTGTATACCTTCATAAAGCTAACAGGGTTGATGGTATTATAGTTTAATTGGAAATTAGGCCTATAAGATTAAAAAATATGTAAGGTTCTTTTTAGAAAAATAATTTAATGCTGGTGCTTCTACAAAATCCAGTTTTCAATTCTTAACTAACAAAATCATGGTAACAGGGTTGACATTTTAAGATTATTCCCTTAAAAAACCTAACAAAAAAAGGGATACTTTAACGCCTTGAAGTATTTGCTAGTTGAAAAGGTGATGATATTTGCCTTTATGACAAAAATGTTTTTTATTTATTAAATAGTTCACTGCTTTAAAAGGGGGAAATATGATAGTAACAGAGTTGATTAAATAACCTGGAGACAGAATGTCATAAGAAAATAAATAATTTTACTTTCATATAATTTGTTTTCATCAAAATGTGCAAGAGGAAATTGGAAAAAAGAAGTGGAAAGAGAAAAAAAATAAACCTGCTGGGTTTTTGTTTCGAGAATGTTTATATTAATGTATAATAAAAGTTAGCATCAGCTATTCATTGCTTCTTATCATTGCTCATTTTTTACACACATGTATATGACAACACTCATTCTGTAGAATCACCCTACTTTCAGCATACTTTAATTTTCTTTCTATTTGTATCAGTTGCTGTATCTTCACTATAGTCACTAAATCACCTACTACCACGTTTAACTGTGCCCCAAAGCAAAACGTACGCCCTGCTGAACAAACCTCCTCATTCATCACCTCACACACACACACACACACTCCAGCCTTCATAAACACCCTCTCACCTTCTGATACGGGGTGTACGGACAGGACAATCATTTGAACTTTGTGTCAGTACGTCATAAAGAGAACGCTGCATCAGTTTACTGTCGGGGATTTGTCGTGCCGTGCCGCATCCAGTGTAGACAGCATCACTGATTATAATGGGTTAATTGTATTTTGTCGCGCCGCGCCGCTCGCGTCCGGTGTAGACACGGTGAGAGCCACGCAGATGCACGTGAACACTGAATTCTGTTCACTTCTGCGTCTATTTGTGCCTGAAATACTGTGCTCTGCAAGTATCCTTGTAAACACAGTTG